GCGGGCTTCTTCTCAGCGGGGGCTGCCTTGGGTGCCATTGTTGTCTAGTGTGTGTGTGACGAGTGGTGTGAAGAAGAGCGGTGTGGAGGAGAGCAAGGGAAGTCGCAGGACTCGGGGCCGCTCTCGCGCGTGCGCCTAGCTCGAGCAAACTGCCAGCGTCAGCAGTTTGAGCCTCAAACGGCCAACGTCACTGCGGCAAACGGCCACCGTCGGCAGTTTGGTCGACAATCCGAAAGTCGGTTTGACCAACATCACCAGCACACTCCTTCTCCTTCTTTCCACTACACGCGCTCGATTACCGCTCACCTTCCACCCACACACTTCAACAACTACTCTAACAACATGTCATCTGGAGGCAAATCAGGAGGCAAGGCTGGCGCCGCCGCCGCCGACAAGGCCCAGTCGCGTTCGTCAAAGGCCGGTCTCCAGTTCCCTGTCGGTCGTATCCATCGTTTGTTGAGGAGGGGCAACTACGCCCAGCGCGTCGGTGCTGGTGCTCCTGGTGAGTTGCGCGCGATTGCCTGCGGTCCTGTGCTGCTCGGCCCAGTGTCTTGCGTTGAGCTGAGTTTGCTGACCTTTCATGTTCGCTTGCTCACCTCAGTCTACCTCGCTGCCGTCCTCGAGTACCTGTCTGCTGAGATCCTCGAGTTGGCCGGCAACGCCGCACGCGACAACAAGAAGTCGCGTATCATCCCGCGTCACTTGCAGCTCGCCATCCGCGTACGTCCGCCGGGTATCAAGCTATGATAAAAGAGTAGAACTGACTCGGCTCAAACTCTAGAACGATGAAGAGTTGAACCGCTTGCTCGGTGGCGTCGTCATCTCGCAAGGTGGTGTTTTGCCCAACATCCACGCCGAGTTGTTGCCTTCCAAGACCGCCAAGGGCGACGTCATCTAAACGTCGTTTCGGATTGGTCGGCCATTTCGTGGCCTGGCTCTGTGCTTGTCGACAATCTCGCCGCATACATGTCGCGCACATTCCCTTCAGCTCTTTCGCTTTTCATATAACCTTGTTGTCACTATTTCACTTGTTTTGCGGTCTCCTTGGCATGTCTGCCGCTGTCAACTCGCATGCTCTTATGTTTTCTGCTCGCAAATAGTGAGGCGTGCAAGCGGCCGCGAGTAACTCGCTTCCTTATGCCGTCCATCGCGTACAGCTGCTGGAGATGAAGCGCGTGTGATACGCAGGAAGAACCAAAAATGCTCGCCTGTCAGCAAAAAGAAAAGCTTTCAGATTCCAAAAATGGTTTCTCCTGCTGGGCAGGTCCATCAAAAAGAGAACAATAATTTCCCCGTCGGGGAGTCGAACCCCGTTCGCGGCTGTGAGAGAGCCGAATCATAGCCGGTAGACCAACGAGGATA